AGCGAATGCTGGCTGGGGAATTCTGGGAGTTGAAGTCCAGACATCTTCAAGTGGCCAAGGTTGAGAAACACTGCTTTAAGAATCTTTGGCCTGCCACACTCTCATTAAGTGGGGAGGGGAATAGCAAGGGGTAGAATGTGTTGTTTTCAAAATAAAAAATTCCTTTCTAGAAGCTCAACGTTATTCTTTGTCTCCACACCTTTGCACCTGACCGGAACCAGCTGGGTGGAGATGCCAGTGAGGAAAAGAAGAGGATTGGACCATGTGATGGATTTGTGGGTGTGGGGGACAAGATCGTGAATTTTAAACTGGGGTGGAATCCCAGGGAGTTTCAGAATTGGGATTACATAGCATGATGCCAACATGTCTGTTTTTTATTAAATTGGAACTTTAAGGATAACTCTGCCTTGGACTCTGATTTAATTCTGCATGATATTTGGAACACTGATATTATCCCAATTCACAGCCATTTCATCTAGGAAGCAGGCTCAGGTAAATCCAAACCGAACTGATCTACATTCATCCTACACCTGTACATCTCTTCTTACGGCTCTGGTGAACCTGTCAACAACTTACCTCGAGCTTCAGGAAGGTATCCTGGGGCACAAACTGTACTTGGAGTGTCCCTCGGAAGAAGGCGGGGCCCACCGCGCTGTCCGGGATGGCACTCCAAGGAGATGTTCCACGCAGACTAGGGGAGAAAGAAAGGGCTGTTTCTTCCAAGGGGTCAGCAGGAGGAGGACTGTGGGGTCCTTAGTGCTCTCTGATCTCGGCTGTTTTTCTTGCAGATGTTTCATTACTCAAACTAGGTAACATCATCAGTGCTAGAAGGGAGGAAAGGGGGGGAGGAGGGGGAGGAGGAGGAGGAGGACTGTGGGGTCCTTAGTCTCTCTGAGCTTGGTGGTTTTCTTGCAGACATTTCTTTACCCAAATTAGGTAACATCAGTCCTAGAAGGGTGTCAGGTTTGCAGAAAAGAGGAGATGGTGGTGGTAGTAGAGAAGGAGGAGAAGGAAGAGGAAGAGGAGGACAATGACTGTGAGGTCTTTGGTGCTCTCTGATCTTGGCTAGCAGATGTTTCATCACCCAACTAGATAACATCATCAGTCCTGTAAGGAAGTAGGGTAGGAAGGAAGGAAGGAAGGAAAAGAAAGAAAGAAAGAAAGAAAGAAAGAGGAAGGAAGGAAGGAAGGAAAAGAAAGAAAGAAAGAGGAAGGAAGGAAGGAAGGAAGGAAGGAAGGAAGGAAGG